ACTACACACACACACAACACAGCACATACACACACCACGCGCACACTTACACACCCACACCCGCACACACACACACACACACACACACACACACACACACACACACACACACACACACACACACCACACACACACAACACACACACACAGCGCAGTCGGTCACACACACATAGATCGTCGCTGCGTTTTCCCTCCAGAACAAACAAGAAAAAACTCGTCTGCGGAAAGCGCGCGCCGTCCCGCGGTGGCCTCGGCGGCATCCTATTGACGTTCGCGCGGAGTCAGCGGCCGTATAGACGAGAGAGAGAGAGAGAGAGAGAGAGAGAGAGAGAGAGTGTGTGTGTGTGTGTGTGAGAGAGAGATGGGAGAGAGAGAGAGAGAGAGAGAGAAGACGAGAGAGAGAGAGAGAGAGAGAGAGAAAGAGAGTGTGTGTGCGAGAGAGATGGAGAAGACGGAGAAAGGGAAAGAGAGAGAAAGAGAGAGAGAGAGAGAGAGAGGAGAGGAGAGCGAGAGAGAGAGAGAGAGAGAGAGAGAGTGTGTGTGTGTGTGTGTGTGTGAGAGAGAGAGAGAGAAGCGTAATTATGGTGTGGGAAAGAAGGCGTGCCGTACGCCTTGGCCGTGCGGAGCGAAGTCCGTAACGGCTGCTGTGTCAGCCGCTGCTGTGTTAGAACAATGTATATCAGAAGTAGATAATAGGGAATATGTATAGTTGTTATGAATAGTTGTTATGTATAGTTATTATGAATATATATTGTGTTACAAGTTGTTATGTATAGTTGTTATATGTTATAGAGATGTTATGTTACAGTCGTTATGTATAGTCGTTATGAATAGTTGTTATGTATAGTTATTATAAATATATATTGTGTACAGTTGTTATGTATAGTTGTTATATGTATAGTTGTTATTTATAGTTGTTATGTATAGTTGTTATAGTATTGCCTGCGAACGACGGGGGCAAGACGTAATCACGCGATAATACGAGAAAAACAAGAGCGAATCGTCTGCTTCGAACCTGATTCTGGCGACGAATCGGTCAACGAATAATAACAAAGTAATTCTATTTAAACTAACGATTACATATAACTCTGACAAGTAATTTTCAAAATAATTTGTATTGTTTTTTAAACAGGTTAGAAGAGTGCAAAATCTAATTTTTAATTACCGATTATAATTACAATGTATTTTAATAATAAACACAATTGTTTTATTTACTCCCGATACCATAGCCATAGGTCTAGGTCTGGGTCTAACTACAGTTGCTTACTGCCTCATCGCGTACTACTCTGTTACGCATTCTTGTAACTTCATACTTCAAATAATATTGAGGTGCGGAACGATCAAGGTTAAAAATGAGAAAAAAATTAATATATATGTATTAACGCATCATCATTTTCGGTATTTTAACCGTCGCCGTTGCTGGCGCCATCTCTCGTACGAACAATGAAGACATTGTTCGAGCCGTAACGATCACGGCCACTTACGATCGCTCGGGCATCGGCGGGTGTGCGTGTGGACTGAGGAGTAACACACGATACCCAGCCGATGCATTAGAATTCAGAAAAACATGGCGGGCGTTGCTGCGCGCGCGTTCCATCGTTCGTTTAGAACTTTAGGTCATTATTAGCGTCACGCAACGTAGCCAGTCACGTGATCTTCGCGCACGAATCATCGACCTCGGATTGGTGAAGGATTTTCCGTACGACTCGCGCGTGGATTCAGGGTTAGCGTTTAGAGAAGACGTGAGTAAACAGGGGGCTAATGCAATTCGGTGGTGCTAGCCTTTATTATTCACTACAACTCGTAGATAAAACTGGTTAGGTATGTGGTTACGACACAACCCCTTACGCGCCTGTCACCCTACGTTGCCTTCGCCCGCTTGGCGTATCTACTGAGGAAGGGGAGAGAGAACGCGCGCGGGGAAGAGAAAGAGGAGAGAAGGAAGTAACATAGTACGTTACACGCCAAGAAAAGGGAGGGAGAGAGCGCAGGAAAACGGGAAAGAGAGAGGAAAGATGGGGAGGGGAATAGATGATGGAACAGCTTGTCGAAGCAAATCGAACACAATGACTTCCGCCATCGTGGCAGACAGGCAAGCTATACCGTCCGTAGTACAAGACGCATGGAGGTCGCAGCGACCTGGTATGACCTTTGGCGTGACCTTGGCGATGGGGGCGCCCCCTGTGGTGGGGTCACGTTGACGACGCGTGGTCGACTGCAGAATTACTCACCGATGAGTTACGAACGACGTGATTTTACTGCAGCAGAAGACGACGATGGAATGAAAAGCATATATAGATCTAGTAAATTTGTCAGCAGCACACGCTAGCGTGCAGGTAACAATGATAGGGTTGTTTCCTCTACCGAATTCCACCGCGCGCGGTTGTGGGTGTGGTGGGAGATTGGCGCGGCTTGCTGGGGAGGGTGAGAGACGATAGGGGAGAAGGGAGGGGGAAGGGTGGGGGTTAATTTGGTCTGCGGGATCGCGGGCAGTCTAAGTCCAAGCCCGTCGCAAGCTAGCTAGATAAGAGACACGACACGACCAACTTTGTACATATTAAGGGCTTGCTTCAACTCCGCAACTTGCCTCATCGCTGAGGGCGTCTCGTTGCGTTTCAAAATACACACGTGTTATTACACACATTAGTTATATGCGTTACAAGTCGGGGGTGGGGTCAAAGACGCACGAGTAAAATCTGTGCGAGTGCGCGAGAAGGAACGAGAAGAAAAAAATAGGCGAACGCGCATGCGCACACTAAACACGGTTTTACACATTGTTCGTGAGAAAGGGTAACACCCGGTGGCGACATCTATCGTCGGCAGAGGAAGACGCAGAAGCGGCGCAGACTGTCTGTAGTTTATAAATCCGATTACAAGTGCAAGAAGTTTTCGCTTCAATTTCAGGTGTAGCATCTAATCAGCTATTCCGACTGTGAAGTGCTTTCTGTACATCGATATACGCGTAACATAACGGCGAGTAGGAGAAATAGAAAGACATATAGATAAATAGTAAGGAAGGGTGAGTGAGCGAGAGAGACAGACGGACGATAGAGAGAATGAAAGAGAGAGAGAGAGTACGCGAAAGGAAGAAAGAGATAGTGAAAGATAGAAAGAGAAAGGGGGAGATGAGTAGAGAAAGGAGGAGAGAGAAAGAGAGAAAGAGAGAGAAAGCTGGGGAAGAAGGAAGAGTGTTAGAGCGATAGAGAGAAGATTTGCAGGAGGATAGCTTGCTCAGTTTAGTAATATACATTATTGTGAAATAAACAGCAGCAACTACGCTACTTATCTGCCTCCTACAGCTACCCCTTACGCGACCTTTGACCTTGCCCCGCCGATTGGTCAAGATCAAGGAGAACGTCGGCCAAACTGCCGGCGTCTACCTGCGGAGCAAAAGTGAGTCATCATCGACATCACGTCA